GCAGTTGATGCACAAACCAGACAGGCCAGATTGGGTAAAGATTATGTTTGTTTGCCATGTGGAGGCAAGTGGGAAGATACACTGGTAGAAAGTTAATAGTACTGCCTATCTTACAGAAAAACAATATAGATGGGGGTCAGGTTCCTGAAGACAACAACTGGCAGGATCATGGGCCTCCTATTGACATGAAAGTTTTAGGGATACTATAAATATGAAATGTGTTGTGTCTTGTGGTAACTATGTACCCATGCTCATTACAACATCTTGTACCCCAAGAATTCCTAACACAGGTTAGGATTATACACACTTTGATTGCTTTTCATTCCAGCATGCGTTTCAAATTGTTTAGGCTGAACAGACAATCTGAGGTCTTTAAAAGTGCAACTGTTAACATTTTTAATAAAGGCAAATGCAAACAAAGTAATAGAACTCAATAAAATGTCTAAAATAATATTGCAGCAAGAGTATAATAATTGTATCCATACAATGGATATTTGCATATAAAAAAATAATTGATCGGCTGTAGAATACAACTGACGCAATTTAGCAGCTTTGGTTCATGTCAGTGACTAAAAATATAACCTATTCTAGTCCCTGAGGTCTCATTTCAACATTCTTACCACCTCTCCAAAGGTCTATAGTGCCTGCATGTATTTCTGTAAAATCAATGCTTGCACTATCAAGGAACAGACCTTTCACTAGGCATAGCAGGTTATTTGGTAAATCCAGTGTCTAGGGACAGGTGAGGGTGAAAACAGTCCAGCATATACAATAGATACCATAGAAATATGAGATTTTGTTTCTAAATTTGAGAAATAGTATTGCGGCTTTCTAGTCTTGTAAATCTAAGGAATGTTATGGAAAGCAGAAATATGGATAGTAGGTGAGTAGATAAGGTTTTATGTGCATGCAGGCAGGAAAAAAAGGAACACTAGTCATCCCTTATTGGTATACTCCTTCAATTGGCTAATATGGTCAACATTTACTAAGCTTAGTTAAACAATAATATTATATTAAAGTTATAGCTTTAGGAAGCTACCAATATATTTGCACTTTTACAACAATAATATAGTTAAATATAAAATTGCATATTTTAAAGAGATGTGCAAACCTCAATGCTATTAAATATTTTGTAACACATCGACACAGTGAACCCATTTCCTTCATATGGTGTTTTATGTACAGGGGAAGATGATCTAAATTCTGGTTATCACTGAACACGGTTATAAAGTAGAAGAAATGTAGTTTTAGTGGATAATGACATTTAACTAATTCTGCTTGTTCCATGGCCTATTGTTTGCACAGGTAGGCTCAAATGGAACAGTCACACAATCAATGTGCAGGTCTGTTGAAATACTGCAGTCATTTGTCAACATTTTTCTACACAAACAAAATACATTTTGGGTTGAAAAAAAAATAAGAATCTTCAACTAATACATTGTGTAAATATTCAGTTCAATTGTCCAATTAGGTGCAAATAAAAAAAAAGTAAACATAAATTTGCTTTTCACTTACTGTATAAATGAAGTGAATATTCATACAATTTATTGTGTGAAGGTTCTCAACACGTTTAGTAAATCAGCCTCTTTGTGTAAGACGTGCCATTAAACCAACCAGTATATCCTTTGGTAAGACAGCAGGAAAACATAGAATTATAATTCTAATATCTAATATCTAAAGATCATGTATTCTAATATCTAAAGATCATGAAACAGAGTTTAAAATGATCTCACATGGTGTGTATGACATGTCATTTTTTAAGGTGCCTCCAAAAGGGCTTGAGTTTTCAGACAATTGTTTTTATTAGAATTACTATCTCTCCTTAAACAAATTGAGGTGAATGCAGAAGCAGCTCAAAAGGAAGCAAAAGAAGGCACCTAGCTTCTGCTCCTCTACACCTAAGTTGGGTGTCTTTTTAACATGCCGCGGTAAATGACCGTTGCTCAGTTCTCCAGCATTCTCAGAGGAGAGAGTTCTCCTCTGAATGCCTTTTTATGAAGCGGTGTAGATCACGTCTTCGAATGAAGGGAGAAACGATCTACAAGCGCTTTGAACGCTGGGGAAACGGCTGCTGTTACAATAATCTCGAGAGATTACAGTAAGAGATCAGTCAAACACTGTTTACTAAGCAGCAGTAAATGACTGCTGCTTCGTTTGCGGTTCCTCTGATTCTCCAGCTCTGGGCTGGAGAATCTGGATTGAGAACACAGATCGCCAGTGGAGGGCTGACATCGCTCCTTCATATACTGGCCATCTGTGTGCTGAGATGATCAGCGGAGAACATGTTCTCCACTGATCATCTCTGTTTCCTAAACCACTAATAATCTGAGATCAGCAACGATCCTTAGGATCACCGCTGATCTCTGTTTCATAAAAGGACACCATAGTTAGATGGTGCACCCTATGTACGACAGTTCAACATTGGATGCATTTACAAAAAAAGGTGCAAAAGTAAACTTTAAAAAGTTGACATGACTTAAAATATATTTTTACACATATGGATTGCAGCAAAATGTTATAAATCTCTGGTACTTCAGCACGGAGATCTCCTACAACCATCTCTGTAAAAGTCTACTAATGTTGACTTTCCAACAATCAATTCCTGCTGAAGTGAATTTTTCATATGTTCCTTTTAATAACAGACCATAGGAATGCTGCATTGTCCATTCCTTAGCGGATGCTACATAGGAATGCTTGAAGACATGGTGTCATTGTTATTCAGGGGAAGGGAGATGATCTTCACCCTGGTGTCCCAATAAGATTTAAAAGTCTAAGGAGGGATATAACTCCTCTTCATCTAAAACACTTTAGCTCCCAGGTACGCTTGTTCTCGTGTTCTGAAGATTTAACCTAGGAAGTTCTTATTTTAAGTACTGCCTAATAGTACCGAAAACCTGCATTTTACTTTTTTTTTTTTGCTTTTAAGTCCTATAAACGTCTAATGCAGTCTGGCATTTTTTAAGATAGTATTCATTGAGCAGTAATACATACGTCATGATATATAATAAAAATACAAGTTTGCTTATACCAGCTAAGCAGCAGAGTGTTCATGCAATTATTTAAAAATGTTGGCAAGCGTTTTAATAGAAATCTGATTTAGGTTTATAATTTATCCAGAACAGATCCACAGCATTTATGTGCAGTTACTAGGGTCAAAAGATATACACACGAAGTCCAACAAGTTTTGGGACTGTATACTTGAGATTCTGCTTGCATCAGAACTGTATTTTATCACTATGCAAATCAATGGGAATGCAACAGTAGCTTTTTGTAGCTTTGAAGGTCAAATATGAAGGTACTGAGGTGTAACTCAGAATCCTCTGACCTCAAACATAAGTTAAATGTACCTGAAAGCCAGCTATACTGTATTAGCCTATCTAAACAAGCTCTTATACTGTTCTTCCTCACCCCAAATGAGTTTCCTTCTATTATTTTGTCATTTTCCTGCATAAGGCTGGATGAGTAGCTTGAGTCTAGAATGTAATCCCCAACTATTTAGCGATCTGCCCACATCCACTTTCAGGGGACTAGGCAGAAGGGACTAGATTTTACTGTGACTGTTACTTCTATGCCTAAAAAAATAGTATCAAAATCCAGCGTAGGAATAATTTTATAGGTCAAGAACATGTATTTCTGCTATGGGGAAAGTCATCTGATGTAGAGACAACTATGCTGGTTGTAAGGCTGAAGGTGCATTACATAACACATAAGTCCCTGGTGTTCAATGAATCCTACAGTTCATTACAAAATCTTGTAATTAACAATGAATATGTTGTAATGGCAGCTTTGGCACTTTTAGTAAAACAGTGTGTATAAAGCTGGAGATCCTTTTAATGGTAAATTTAGCAGAAATCAGAGAGGTATGGGAAGATAATGAGCTTAATAGTACATACAGCCCTGTACGTGCAAAAAAAAACAAAAATCACATACTTTAAATAGGCAATGCATAGGATACAGTATTTGAATCACTTCTGTTATAATTTAAATAAATATTTACTATTGTTCACTTTAAGGCCTCAAATGTCCTTGAAAGGCCACCAATAGGTTGTTGTAACCTATTATTATTTTGATGCTTAAAAGCATTGAAGTCCTCAAATATAATCTATGAACTTTTTTTTCATAGACGTTAACCCATACAATAAATATTGTCATAAGAGTAATATATAGTTTTGACTTAAAAATTTAGATTGTAAATTATGTAAATAAATTACTGCTGAGTAAATCAATGCTAAATATATTTAAGTATATTTATATTACATTAAAAACACAGTTAAAGTGGTTGTAAACCTCAGACATGAAATATGAACAAAGCATATCCCTCCATATTGTGTACGTGTCTCAATGAAGAGCACTAAGTGTCATACCAGTGTGCTGCTTCATTCCTCTGCTATCAGCATGAATCACTTCTGACAAGATTTCCTGACACCAAGAGAAATATGTTGATGGGGAGGGAGCTCCAGCAGATTGACAGCTTCAGCTCTGTTACTGTGTGCTGTGTGAAGGGGGTGTGTGTCCCTTCCTTCCAATCAGATCTCAGAGCTCTCCTCACTGAGCTCTGCAGTGTGTAATTTCAGATCTCTGCCTCCTTTTCTCTGAACTCTCAAACAATCTTTAAATAATTCAACACTCTGAATGGATGTAGAAAAGAGAAGACTGCCGATAGACAGGTACAACTTATGTAGGAGGATTTATATAAATGCTGTGTATCACCTGAGACCAGTCACTTCACTGGGTATATGTAAGGGATTACAACCGCTTTAAACTGTTGGTTGGCTATTACTTCCTTCTGTTATATGAAAATGGAAAGTCTTCTCAAAATGAAAACTAAAACCCAAGAACAAATCAGTGATAATAAATAGTGTGGTAATTGGATAAATGTGGGTACATAAGTATGTTGACATCTGCAGTGAAATGTCATCACTGAACAATCATATGTCCAGTTATAAAAACTAGGCAGAAGTCTGTGGTTAAAATGGGACAATAATAAGATATATGGTTATTTAGGAAAACAACTGGTTGAACTGCTGGGTGACACGGATAAAAGTTGTCCGCCTGCTTAGCTCTTTGAGTTTAGCCGCTCCAACGTATGTACAGGTAGATCGCAGTCCTCCTAGGATGTCTCGAACAGTGTTCTCCACATCTCCTTTATATGGTACCTCTACAGTCCTGCCTTCGGAAGCTCTGAAAAAGAAAAGAAACGTGATAGCTGCTCTTAATATTTTAAATATTTTTTATTTGAAATGTTTTACATTATCTATCAGCTGTGTTTTTAAACTCAATAAAGTTTACAGTTCCACTCCAAGCAAACCGCTAAATACTTTTACTTGCCAAAGGACTTGTCTGGCAAGGTAGAAGACCTGATTATTTCTGTGGTTCAGTAACACTTACAGGTATGTCCCTCCCCTCCCTGTGATATGATAAGAACAGGAGAAGCAGCAGACTGATGTGATCATGTCTCTGTCGCTCTGCGCTCTCCTATTATTAGAATGTTCATTGAACTGTATAAAAGCTGATTGGCTCCTTGTGTGTGCTTCTCACTTTCCAATATGGAGCTCCTCTTAAAAAAAAAACAAACTTAAAGCAGAGTTCCACCTGAAAAAAAAAAGTCAGCAGCTACAAAAACTGTACCTGCTAACTTTTAAAATACCGACACTTACCTGTCCCTTGGTCCAGCAGTGTCCTCACCATGGCTGGTTTAACCGGCCGTCTTCTCTCCCTGGCGCCAGCATCTTCAGTGTGGGCACTGGCTGTGACAGCTTGCGGCTTCACAACCGGTTGCCCTCTGCGCATGCGTGAATGGCCCCGTAGTCTTCTAGGACATGTCACGTGTCCCAGAAGACTACGGGGAGGGAGGGGGGAGGACAACTTCCGCTTCTGATCGCCTAGGCCAAAGGTGCCAATCCTTAATTGGGAGTAGGGGACAAAGGCTTAAAGCGGAACTTCCCCTTTTGGGTGGAGCTCTGCTTTAAAGTGGTATTAAACCCAAAACCAAAAATGTAATATATTGCAACTTACCAATCTAAGATGTGGTGGCTGCATTAGTTCTCTTTTTTTTATGCTTTTTTCCCTCTCTTTTCACCTGTTGATCTGGTCAATAAGACACCTCCTGTATTAGTGTGCCCCCACTCTGGATGAAGGAGCATGTGAGGCATCTTTGGACAGGAGCCTTGCCAGTCTTGGGAGTGGGGAGTGGTAGATGTATTAGCAGATTTAAATACAATAACAAATTGAAGCTGAGCTCCAGTTAATACTTTATAATCAGTTACAGCAAACAGTTTTTTCCCTTTTGGGATAAAGGTATTTTCAGAAATAAATAACAGCTGATCATTCTAAGAACCTCTGCCATTGTTAAATAGCCTGTCTTATCTCTGTAACTGCAAGTGACAACAGACTTACTGGCTGGATCATCAGATGAAAATAGAAGAAAAAAAAAAACTAAAAAAGGAAACTAATACAGTTATCACTTCTATGAATATAGAAGTAATATAATAAATGTTTGCTTTTGGGTTTAATACTGCTTTAAAGATGCAATAATGATTAGAGAGCTGCATACATTTGTGCCATGTATATCTGCCTGGACTTTAGCTTCAAGGGAGGCTGGTATTTCCTGCAGGGTGAACACATTGTTCTTTTCAAAGATAGTATTGGGTACAGTGATGATACAAGTATAGGGAACAATGTAGGTAACATCTCTACTTTTAAAGACACAGACAACAAGCACTCCCAATCATGTACACAGGAGAGTGGTAATATAAACATTTTGGAGAATTACATCTGGGCACCTATAATTAAAAAATTGACATCCAGTAAAACAGTGGAGAACAATAACAAAGTGCTTGGCGAATATAATTGGGAATAAGAGGGAGAGGTATCCTGGGAAAGTGGCAGGTAAATATATTGTTCATTTGGAATTTATATTGAGCCATCCAGCACTGGCCCTGTTACATTAAAGGGTAATCAGGGTAATATTGCAATAGATGAAATTGCTAACCCTAACTTGCTATCACGGGGGGAGGGGGAATATATATATATATATATATATATATGTACAGATGAAAAATTCCTGTATTCCACGGAAGCCCCTAACAAGACAGATTTTCTGAGATCCATTCTTCAGTGGCCCTTACAATGTTTTTCACCCTGGGAAAACACCTGAAACATACAATAATTACACCACTTGCTAATGATCATGCCTCAAGAATGTGCACATTAGTGCGGAAAAGCATCTTCTAAGTGACATGTCAAAATAATAGCATCTACCTCTTCAGTGTGGAGTCAGCAGAGTCTTTAGTATTTGCACAAGACTCTCCTAGACGCTGGATAAGGGAATAAATTAGCTAGTGAAGAACACAGCTTCTAACTGGCAGATCCTGCGAAGTATCATTCATGACAGGCTGAGGTGCAGAAATAGGATTTGACACTATCCTTACACTTAGCTGCTACAGAGATATGAAAAAAAAAAGAACCCCCGGGGAATTTATACTATACAATGAGCTGCTTCTTCACCTAATTATCCCCTTACAGTATGTCATGTGTCTTCCACAGGCCACGCTATATTTCTGCTACATACTTAGGCTTTAGCTTGAGCTTCAAATTACCATAAAAAGGCAGTCAAATCAAGTAGCTATACAAAAATACAGAGATGCAGCCTGCTGTCTGTGTTTCCTTATTTCTTCCTGCTAGTAGTCAATATATATATATATATATATATATATATATATATATACAGTATATACACTATATTGCCAAAAGTATTGGGACACCCCTCCAAATCATTGGATTCAGGTGTTCCAATCACCTCCATGGCAACAGATGTATAAAATGAAACACCTAGTAATGCAGACTGCTTCTACAAACATTTGTGAAAGAATTGGTCGCTCTCAGGGTCTCAGTGAATTCAAGCGTGGTACCGTGATATGTTGCCACCTGTGCAATAAGTCCATCAGTGAAATCTCTTTGCTACTAAATATTCCACAGTCAGCTGTTAGTGGCATAACAAAAGTGGAAGCAACTGGGAACAACAGCAACTCAGGCATAAAGTGGTAGGCCACGTAAAGTGGCAGAACAGGGTCAGCGTATGCTGCTGAAGAGCACAGTGCACAAAAGTCGCTAAACTTTGTGCGGCCTTCAAGTTAGTCCAACAACAGTGCGTAGAGAGCTTCATAGAATGGGTTTCCATGGCCAATTAGCTGCATCCAAGCCTTACATCACCAAGTGCAATGCAAAGCGTTAGATTCAGTGGTGTAAAGCACACCACCACTGGAGTCTAAAGCAGTGGAGACGTGTTCTCTGGAGTGACAAACCATGCTTCTCTATCTGGCAATCCAATGGACGTGTCTGGGTTTGGTGGTTGCCTGGAGAATGGTACTTGCCTGATTGCATTGTGCCAAGTGTAAAGTTTGGAGTAGGGGGGATTATGGTGTGGGGTTATTCTTTCAGGAGTTGGGCTTGGCCCATTAGTTCCAGTGAAGGAAATCCAAGCACAAACCTTACTCTCCACCAGTTGCCCCACCCAACCTTGCTCAGGTCCGCCTCCAACCCCACCCCTGGCCTACCCCCAACCCCACCCCTGGCCCACCCCAACAGCACCCCCAGCCCTACCCCCCCCCCAGCCCTACCCCAACCACGCCCCCGTAACGCTTATGAAATTACATTTTTCTTTAGAATAGAGTCTAATATAAAGCTGGCTTACATCAAGTCTCATAGTGGATAAGAGGCCAGACTGAGCCTAGAACCTAATTTATGAAACCTATGTAAACATGTAATGTGTATTCACAGCATCTCTGTTATTATATTAGAAAGTCACATAACACATTTTCTGCTATTAAAGTATTAAAAAAAGGACACAACTTGTTACTAACTGGATGTAAGGTCTATCCATAGACATAGGACAATTGTCACCGAATCCTGGCAGACTGGCAGAGGCATCCCCTGGTGACCATTTGTTGCATACACTATTTGTATGTTCATGTCACTGATGTGTGAAGGTATGACACCATGTCTGGTGAAGACAACTCGGTATTCTAAAAAGCTTGCAATAAAGTACATTAGGGTAGCTAGCAAAAAGGTGTTGCTTATATTTTCACATCCTTTCTACCAACTATGGCTAACGTGGCATATTATTATTACCGTATTGAGTACAGACACCAAGAGAAAGCACTATGCAAGTTTTCAGGTACTACTAAAAGCTATACAACATATACAATAGGGTGTTTAATAAAAGATTAAACTTTATAAAAACTGTAGGAGTAGAGGATGGACCTCTAACCGTACACAAAGAATGTACAAATAACCATACATAAACTGAACAAAATTTCCACAGACCATACCCAAAAATACTTCAAGGTCCCCCAAGGCGGTGGAGAGCGGGCCTCTCCTTGTGTCCCCCATGGCGGTGGAGAGCGGATGTCAGGGAATGGGAAGATCGCTGCGGCGATCGAATCTGCACATGTGTAGAATCCTGACAAAACATACAGGCAGGCGGGCTCTAGGACCCAGGCGCGCCTTTCACCAATGATGGCACCGGGCAAGCACTAGGACCCAGGAGCGCCTGTCAGGAGTCGGGCGGGCTATTTAAACCCAGCTCTTGCTTGCAATGCTCAATTGCTGTATGGTCTTATCTGTGTTCCTGAGTTCCTGAGAGTAGATTGTTTGTTGCCAACCCTGCCTGATCCTGATTTGCTGTCCGTCTCCTGTCCTGATCCCTGGCTTTGTCTGACCATCCTCCTGCTTAACCCCGCATGTTCTGACCTCCTGTTGACGAACTCGGCTTGTGACCTGTTTATCCCTCTGCCTGCTGATTCTGTACTACACCGCCACCACTGTTACTGACCCGGCCTGCCCGACACTGCTCTAGTTACCTCCTCACATCAGACTCTTACCCGCTATACACCTTCTACGGTGCCTCTACCACAGCTGGGTGAACCCAGGGCCCGCGACCTGGTCTCGGCCTGCTTCAAGTCCATCCCCACCATCAGGGGCCCTGGTGAACAAGCAGGTCGGAGCTTAGATTCCACGCCTTGGGGGATTCCGGTCTGTGGAGTGTTAGAGGCTACCGCAGTTGGATTCCTGACAGCGGACCTCTCTCCTCAAGTCTCCTGCCCAATGAGATGCCCCTGGTACCTTTTTCATAGGCTTTTTTGAGTTTGGGCAAGGACACAGGGGCCCCATGATCCCCTATT